TGCACGGGCCCGTGCAAGGCTGCCAGCATACTAACATACATGGAACGTCGAAAAGATGGTTTGCCCCAGCGCGGCCGTGCTCCTCGCTCACCAGGCTAGCGGGCAACAGATACATCTAGCAACGGTCCTTAGTGTCGACGGCAATGGCCTTAGTGTGACATGCATATCGCTAGCTCAGTGCCAACCGTCTCGTTACGCGGTGTGGCAGCATGTGTGGGATCCGACAAATCTCCAAAGATCGACGGGCGTACATGTTTCATCTTCCGAGTCTATAGACTGGGCGCGGCATATCTTAAGTTTTGTCTGCTAGCGCAGACGGTCACTGTATAGCTGCGTTGGAAATTAAGCCGTTGGAGCGTTCCGCACTAGCGCCGCCGAGTCTATCGAAGCAGGTGCACAAGCTATATGGCATATAGTATAGTTGCACATGCTGCATGTTGATGCCAGACTTAATCAGCGCGGCGCGTCATTGCTCGCCGCTCAATCATGAATGTTGAATGTCATCCAGCTAGCTCAATTGACGCCCGCAGCGAGACATGGCCAGGGTTTCCCATGGGTTTGCGTCCCGGCCAGCCAGCTGAATTGGCAGCCCCCCGGTGGTACCAGCTGGGGAGTAGCATTTTGCTCTACCGGCCAGCGGAACGACCTGAGTGCCTGTCGATTTTGCCTGCTAGCCAGCCGGCGGGGACGGTGCCTCCGGCACCAGCTGGGGTCCTTTCCCGGCACTGTGGGAAACCCTGGGACATGGCCGCGCATGGCAATGATTGGAGCATGCAACTAGATCGACTTAGGATCTCGCTCTGGCCACCATCCGGCCGCCATGTCATGGGCCCGGCATGCAAATTCGCTTCTTGAAATCAGCATTAAGTAACGGCAGGCCGCGTCGGCGTAGCGCTGGCCCCATCCGATGATCATGATGCAGACTCGGCAATACCAGGGGCGACTCTAACGGCATGCAGATCCATCGAAATATATATTGAAGGGCCAAATTCATGCCCATGGGCAGTGTATTTCCTGTGCAAGAGCTCAGTATCAGAAATATTTTTGGAGGAACAAGTGAGTCCAATGGGGGCCAAAAGCTTGCTGGTTGTTTCAAGCCGCCTGAGTAAGTATACACCCGTCTCAGTTACACAAAGCGGGCCAGCCTATGTATTGCCAGCGTTGCCAACGGGTCCTGGATGTTCAAAAACGAATACAAAATAACGCATAGTATAGTCTGCATGCGGCCTAGCTGATCCGATCGTCAAACCAGCTTATATCCCAGATTGCAACTTGTCTACAGGGCAATTATAGTACAACGATGCCACTAGACTGATCATTGTCGTTGCTCTGTAGACGATCTGGGCAGAATCTGGCTAGTCAAGGTCTTCTGAGAGTCGGTAGCAGATGGGCCGTTTCTTATCGCCTTTCCCGGGTTTGGAAGAGTGTCCTTCCTTACATGGGGCTGGTGATGGACCCTACTTTCAACACAACACAAAGCTCGGCTCGTCTAAGACGGTCCACTGAAGCGAAGTCCAACATTGTACGAAGTGTCGTCAACTGTTTATAGCAGATAACCGTTGGGAGTACACTACGCGCTGCCAAGTTTCACAAGCTGTTGCAGGCCCCTACCCCACTCCAGTCAGGCTGACCACGTGTTGGCGGTACGGTGGCTACACCCTTATAGCATGCCAACAACGCGGGCAACATGTTGCTTAACCTTAGTCTATTTCCCCTCCCCCCATGACATTGGCAGAGCACGCTGCTCGTCCCTTATTCCCCAAACAATGGTTAGCTCGACCTGGAGCTTATACTTGATCATCTGCCCTACCGCATATTTCTTTCATACCTCAAATCGGGCGGCCCGCCTCAGCGGGGGGGACGGAGAAACGTCCAAGCCCAAACTCCTTCTCCGCTCCATGGGGATCCATATCCAAACTGTCCCAAATCGGCGCCGAAAACATGCGGTGCAGCTCCCGCAAGTCTTTCTCCCCCCCCTTCTCTGCCCCCCATAGGGGCACCTCCGGGGCAGGGGGCGAAAGCAACGCCTTATACTCCCCCCCCGAGAGGGGCAGTTGCTGCTCAGGGGGAGGGTTCAGATCCACCATGGGGTGCTCCCGGGTCTCATCCAACACTAAACTAGCCCCCGAGTCCAGACTATCGTGCGATCCCGGCATGCCGTGCGCGCCCGCAAGCTCGCCAAACCGCTTATCTCCCTCCGTCCGGGCCATGAAATCGTTCAGCGACTCGGGCCCTGCCGCCCCCTTGAATAGGAGGTTGTCCGGGAAGGAGGCCCTGTGGGGACTCCCGTTGCCGAAGTCGGAGCCCTGCAACTTGGCGATGTTCAGCTGAGCAAGGCCTGGGGCGGCCGGCGGCCACGCAACCTGCGCCGAGGGCACGGGTGGGGCGTGCCGACAGGGCAGGGTGAAACGCGCGCTGGACGGGAACAGCGGCATGCTGTTCTGTGCCTGTAGCGGGGGAGGTTTAGGACGCGAGGTCAGCGGAGGCGACCAATCACATGGAACGACTTCTCCTACAGCAGCAATACACCATGCTGCTGCATAGGCCTTTACTTGACTTTGAACTGAACAATTGTAGGGTTGATTGGCCGTTACAGCCGTCGACACTGAGAAACAAAAAGAGTGGTTCTAGGAGCAGTGTTAGTGTCCAGTTGGGTGGCGGGCACAAGGAACAGAATACCATTGAGGACCGTTTCAAGGGACCTTGAACCTGCCTTGTCACCGGCATGAGGGCACTGGACTGGACGTATGCACAACCACCGATATACTTTTCAATGGAGGCAACGCAGAGCGACCCAGGGACCTACCTGGGCATCCACTTTACTGCTCAACGCATGCGGCTCTGCCACGTGGTTGGTGGGGGCCCTGCAAAGGAAGGTTCAGCCTCCACTTCAGCTACTGTAAGGAACACGGCTTTGGCTCACAGGGCTTTTTCAGATTACCGAGAACCCTACGAACACGACGGTAACTGATCTTCAGCCGGCCTTTTTTACGATCTCCAAAGAAACTCGTGAAGACAGGCAGCCACCATTTACTTGGATACGAGTATGAATTAGTCTTAGAGCAGCCCAAGAAGGGCTCAAATGTGCGGTGTTGCAAAATTGCACAAGCAAAACCAAAGCAGGGTCCAAGTGAGATACATCCTAAGATGCACCTGTTGTGCAGACCTTCTGTACAAAATGATTTTCAGGGTGATAAGGTGCAGCGATCATCTGCTGCTTCATAACCATCGCTGCCCCCTTACCAATTCTACATAACATTCGTCAGGGACAATCAGGTAGAGAGAGGTCTTTGGAAAATCCTTGATCTTAATTTCAGATCACAAATACCTCCTGGGGCAGGGGAAAGGGGGTCAAACCCCCTCATTCCTCCCGCACTCCCATCCCTGTCAGGCAAGCAAACCCCCTATCTCAGTTAAGAATAGAAAGGAAGGGCAAATAAAAGGAAGACTTACAAGTTGGTTCGTGCCCCTGGGCCGGCTAAAGCCTCAACGCGCGTCCGCACCACCAGGCCGCAGATGTACTGGCCAGGGTCAAGGCTCTTCAGCGGCTGCTCAGCCGCAGGGGGATCCCCCTGGCGGGCGTCAAACAGGGTGACGTCATCGTCCAGCCCCGCGAAGGGCTCCTCTGACGTCAGCACGTCGGAGAGGTCGAGGTCGAAGGCGTGGAGGTCGGAGAGCAGCGCGGTGGCTTGACTCCACGCGTGGTTGGCGCCGGGGAGGGGGGGCGCGCACGGCGGGGGGGAGGAGGGAGGACCGAGTTGGGGGAACAGCCTGCAAGAGAAAGGTTGTACGTAGTGTTATATTGGTGCTAGAATAATATCATAAGAAGACAGCGCTTCAGCGATATGGTGCCAATAAGATGGAAGAGAAGAAGAAACATTGGAGGTTGGGGTGTGGGGCACGGCAAGGAAGGGACACCAGAAGGGTTTTTGGTGCTTTTTGTGGGAAAAGCCCATGTGTGAGCAAGAGGATCAGCAAGAGCCCATTTTGAAGTTGGTAAGAAGGAATCTTGAGAAGAGAGAATGAAGTTGGGATAACCTGGAAGAGAGGAGGAGAGACTCTTGCAGTTATAGCATTGACCAAGTTCCTGCTGTCATTGTAGCCCTTGCTGCTTTTCGGAGGGCAGAAGTTCCAGACATGAAGGGCTTAAGAGCTACCAACAACATGGATCAACCAGTAGCGGTGAAGGGAGACAAAGATTCCAACGCTCGTGAGGTGGGAACTCAAGAAAGAGAGCTCGTGTATCATGCAGAGGGTGCTTGAGATATGAAGCAAGATGTGGAGAAAGATGATTGACGAACAATCAACTACAATGTGAAAGTTGGATACAACAGCGCTAAACCTTGCACAACAACACTAAATGGAGACAACCTCAAATGCTCCAAATGCCTCCCTCCTGTAAAGTCAAACCCAACTTCAGAGCAACTGGCCCTGCTACAACGCTGTCTGGGTCAGTGACAAAAAGCCCTGTCGCCAACCTGTCAGAAAGGATGAAACTCAGCAAGAATGACTTCATCATCCTTCTTCTGTGAGGGCTTCAGCGGCACCTGACACTTTACAGAATGACCGCGTAAAACTCACTGGGGGACATCTTCCGCCTGGCCGCCTGCCCTGACAGTGATGCCTCTGAGCCGTCCGTTTCATAGCCGTCCTTTTCCCTCCGCTCCCGCAACCGGTCGCTCAGGCCCCTCTCAGAGTCCTGCAGTCAGCAAACAGAAGTCAGATCAGCTCTTCATTACCATCAAAATGCTCTCATATATGAACGTCGCTGTTTGCTGGTTGTTAAGGTTCCTCTGCTCTTTGCAGTCACTTGAGCAGTTGAGGGTAGCAGAGTGGCCCCTGCATCAGATGGTGCTTGCTAGACTTGGTACGGAGCAGTGGTGAGCAGTATGACCTTTTGAGCAGATGCAAGAAGCTAGCACACACTTGACGCTGTTTGAGGTCTCGGTGAGCAATGCTGAGGCCTGTGCTGTGCAAAAGACAAAGAAGGAGGGTAATAGATCTGTTACTGTTTTCCTTTTTAAATCATGGACCATGACTTGGGAGAGGGCTAGTGTCCCAACGCGCGTGCTGAAGCATATAACGTTTTGGCCTGCTCTGTAAACCGAGTGCATAATGGATATGTAGGTTTTTTCCTTTTTCAATGTGGATCACTCTTAGCTACACCACAAACTGTTGAAGGCACATAGTAGAAGCACAGAGGGAGCAACAAGTTAGAAGAAAGAGCAAAAAGGACTCACAGATCTGCCAGGAGGGGAAAACCAAAGTGCAGACGGACCAGGAAAAGAAGACAGGTCAAGCTAAAATATGAGTGCCCCAAACAAAGGGTTTCAGCAGCTGGCTACCTGCAGCATCTGATGACCAGAAGATGCAAACGGAGGATGCCAAGTCAACATTCTACTTGAGATGTTGATATATACTCACTAGCATGTTGAACCAAGGCCACCAGAGGACTGCAAAGCCCCAGCTCGCAGAAGAAGCACATTTTTAGCAGCAACATCAACCAACTTGCACATGCCTCCGGCAGACACTAAATGCTGATCAATCAGGGATCAGATATAACCAATGCACAAGGGCACTCAGACCACTGCCTATAAGCCCAAAGCTAGCAGAACTATCACTAGCAGACAGCTGCTGAGGGTGCTTCAGCCACTAACCTGGCCAACCCTCTCCGAGCGCTCCTTTCGCTTGAGACTCCCCGCTGACTTGACTCGGGGGATCACTGGCTCGTCTGAAGCTACAAACCCAGTGGGAACGTGACACGTCGAGAGGCCTGTCACTTGCATTGGCATGTAGCCAGCCAGAGTGCCCCGATGCCGCCATCGAGATCCGCAGGCGTTGCATAGGATCGGCTTCTCAGGGGGCCCCCTCCTCCATAAGGGAGTAGCTGCAGGGGGGGGAAGAGCAGAAACTTAGAAGCGGATAATCAGGGAAGAGGGACAGTTGTTTTGGTCACGCGCAGGGGGACAGCAGCTAGACTCGCTGCTGTTAGGGGGAGGGGTGTATAGCGGAGCTGCGGGTGAAGAGACTTATCCATACATCAACAGATAGAGAAGTATCCAAATTGAATTGATCGAGGTAATGTGAGCGTCAGAGATGAATTAATGGCTGATGACAAGGACTACATGGAGGATTTGACGTGACTGGAAAGCTTCATCATATCCACTGAACTGTCAGTGAGAGAGGCTGGGCAAAGCGCGCCTGCAGGGGGTCTAATGGAGCAGGGCCTGAAAGCAAATGCCGGCAGACTTTACCACTTCTACACTTGAAGAACAGTTGGTGATGAGAGAGGGAGCTGTTGAAAGAAGGGAGCTTCGCTTGGTTCAATGCTGCTGGAAGCACGTCCTGAGGGGGAGCCCTCGTGACTCTTGAGGCCAATCACGAGCAGCGATTTATCCCATTGACGAGAACGACAGGCAAAACTTAGAGACAACTTGTGCAACTGGGGGTAAGCTTTGTTTCAGCAGTGACGTGGCAACCAGGAATGAAGGTTTGACTAGGAGCAGACTGAATATAGCATGTGACCTCTTGGTAAAACCTGCAAGCTTGTCCCAAAATATTGCAGAGAGACAAGGAGCAGTGGCAGCTTTCATGCTCAGCTGCCATTATATCACTCCCAATCGCAGACTCCCAATCAATCCTGAGCCAAGCACAGCTAACCAACCAACCATATTCTGTTGGCCCTGTTGTCAACAGAATCATGCTTTCCAAACTGTTCAGCATCATAGCAGCAGCAATCGCTCATTTACCTCTTGACAGCACTGGAGATTGCAACAACCCAGTGTGAGGAGCCTTGCGGAATGCACAAGCAAACTGATCCTTGTCAACAACAAATTAAAGCCACATGCATACATGGAGAAGAAAGGAAACGGTTTTTTTTTAAACATACTCCTGGATGGCGTCGGGCGCTCATGCACATGCTCGGCCTTGAGGGAAGAACAGGCTCCTCATCAAACATCGTTTGCTATAAACACTGTAGCACTTGGTGGTTGTGCGACCGTCAAATTCCTTGAATGAAGCAAGTCCGAGCTCCTGCCGTCAGAGAATGCAAGCAGCTGCCGTTGTGAAGGCAAAACAGGAGCCGTGCTTCCTCACTTTTGCTGGTCAGCTGAGAGTAGAACAGATTAAACGTGCCGCAAGCCAATTCAAAGGATAGCAAAATGATAATAACACAGTACACATATTGTGATCCTACCAAACGTGGGGTTTGTTGTTGCCAGCCCCCGCAGTGCTACTCCGCATGCTGCCACCACTCCGAGTCAACTTAAGAGGATGCAAATTATGGATGCGAGCTACCATGGTCGGGGTTTCCGATGTGGGACCGCCCGGAAGCATTTTAAGCTGCCGTGAGCTCTAATCCATGCTGCCATAAGCTCTTCCTTCCGGCTCCAAACTCTGAAGTATGATTCTATTACATGCTCACGAACACAACATGTCCAAGCATCTTGTACCTGAGGGCTAACCCAAAAACTGCTCCAAATGTGGCCAGACAAAAGGAGAAGTGGAGCCACAACAGGCTGCTCCAAACTCAGGCGCCACCTCAAAAAACATTTCGTCTCACCTGTGATTCCGCAGTGAGTGCAGGGCCCCGACTTGGCCCCCATGGCTCTCCGCCTTGTGGACGTTTAACAAGTTGGACAAAGCTGCGAGCAGCTCAGGATTCCAGCGCAGCTGACAGCATCAACTCCGAGAAACCGCAGGCTAATGCAGCATTTCCCCCTAGTCCCAGTCGCTTTCAACGCCCTGCAGCCCTCTGCTTATCAACTAGGTAGCCTGAGGTCTTTGCATCAACGCGACCAATGTGGCGCCGGGAAAAGGGTCGCCACTGCAAATCACCACAGAGAGACCCCTTCCGCCACCCCCGGACGCCTAGGAAAATGAAAAGGTGTACTGAAAATTAGGTACCCGTAGTCCAACGTGATGATTCCGAACGATTTTATTTGGGAGATTTTCCCGACAATCCGACCAGAAAAGCGGATTTATCTGAGAATAATTAAAAATAAGCATGCTGATTCCCACAAGAATCCGAATGCCCTATGTTCCCACTAGGCAGGGGGTTTTGAGGCCGATTCTGGCCGTTTCCTGGCTTCCAAGGACCATTTCAGAAATAAATAAACCTTTCCGAATCTCCACTTTGCGAACGCGCAATCCGAATTTCTGATTTCCAGATTGCAAATGATTATTTATTTATTCGGATCATTCCGTTGGACTACGGGTACCTAGCGACGGTACATTGCCGTTAGAGTGTACTCACGGTTCGAAAGTTCACCGTAGGTACCGTTCTCACCTCACAGGCACCGCGTACCCTGCAGTACGTATAAATGCATGCGGTCCTGGCGCAGATACCGTACTAGGTGTCGAGACTTGCAGGGAAACGGCCGGGCGCCGGAGAGAGCGGGCGGTAACGTTGTTACGGTCGCGATTTGGTATCGTGCTCGGCAAGAAGTAAACCCACGGTCAGGTACTTAGCCTAGCCGAGTTCTGTCGATCTCAAACCCAGCCTTAGGAGAGATACATTGTTTTACACCATATGTGAGACTAGTTTAACCTGTGTTGCTCGAACCCATTGATCGACGTCGGAGGCCATCCATGGCCGTGCTAAGTCAGCAAATAGCGGCAGATTAGATGGTGACGGTGAAAATGTCAAATGCTGCTGGAAATGGAAAGCTAGCCGGGGCCTGGAGGGTGTCCCGGTTGAAGTGACCGAATTGTGACGGAAGCCGTGTTGGAATTAACGTCCTGTGAAGAGAGTACGATTCGAGGAATCCCGTCCCGCCCTCCCGGTCACTCTCAACAGGCCCGAAAACGAGTTCCGACCACGAGGATCCGGTGTCCGCCCACGCGTGTAAGATCGGAATCTCCACCTCTGTCGGATTCCGCTGCTGTACTGGCCGGTTCAGACTGTCAGGAAATACGGTGGGTACTACGAGGCGTCGAGGTAGCTTGCGTACCGGTCGTCTGTACCTACGTGCCTGGCATGTACTCACCTGTAGCTGCCAGATGTACCAATTTAGGTACCGGTAGGCTCAGCTCGAAAGTCCGACAACTTCTCCTGGTGCTCGCGCAAACACCGTTCAAGCAGTCCCATCGCGCCACGTGTAGCCTTCGCAAGTTTGTCTCACCGACAAAAGCTCGCTAGCTAGTAGAATCTCTCTTTCGAACCTTGAAACCGCGGCGGCAGGGCCAAGTTTCATGGCCGGGCCGGCCCGCGGCCCGGCCGCGCGCGCCTGAACCTCGGACGTGACCCGGGCCGACGTTCAAAGCTGAGTCTCTGAGTAGTAGGCTCGGGCTAGCTAGTCGCGCGCACCGGCCGGAGCCGCCATGGGGAGCCGGGCAAGTGACGGTAGCCTACTATGGACAATCATCTCAATAAAGCACAGCTACTATCGAAAGCGTTGAGAAGTGCCTAGTGACCTTGTCTGAACGGGAACGACTATCCATATATGGTCGTATAGATCTTGACAAATGCATGATCGCAATTACAGATAGAGAGTTTTTTAGATTGAACCATGATCGCACTCGATCAGGCTAGCTAAACAAAATGTTTTATGTAAACCAAACGATACAGGATCACCCATGAGTTACAGGCCCGACGGGAGGCTAAGTGCCTAAGCTCAAGTAGAAATGAACTATTTTATCAATTTGCAACTACCAGCTTTCCAGGTTCTCTTAGCTTGTCCTAAGCTTTCAACATCACATCACAAGGGACAAACACCGGATCAATGTAAACGACGTCTGTTTCAGTCCCTACACTACAGGTGCAAACCGGCCAAGTACCTTAGTAGGTGGAGGAAAGACTGCATATCCACGCTTTTGCCATTGATGTAGACTTTCCAAGAAAGCTAAGTGGCCCGTGCTAGTTGGGCAGAAATATTTTCACGACATCTTTGATGGGCGTCCTGCAAATCGGACACCCCATCCCCTTCCTCTTAATCTCCGTCAAGCAATCCATGCAGCCTGCAACATGTCCACAAGGGATGCATACTGCTTCCGCAGGCTGATCCATACAGACTGCGCATTGGGGTTCACCAGCTCTCTTCAAACTCGATGCACCTGCAGACAAGAGTTCAGGTTCAACACGGTACTTGGTTAATGAACACCATGTCTTGAGCACATAACGATCTTATATTTCACGCCATACGTGTACAAAAGGCAGAGTGGTGGTAACACAGCTCTCCAGTAACATTTCCGCCATTAAAAAGAAACCAGAAGAGGCCATATCAATAATCTGCAATACAGCTCTACTACTTTTTACTGGACTATGAGCAACTTCGGAGTCTTCTAAGACACTGCCACCGAGTGTCAGAAGCGGACAAGATTAGAAGAGCAAATCGGGGGTTTGTGAACCCAGCAACCTGAGAACTCAAAATTGACTTGCATGCTTAGACCAGCCTCTGACAAGGAGCCCAAGATTATGTTCAAGCAGACAGATCCCGCAGCTTTTGAACACCGTCAAGACGGATGCGGAGTTGATTGTTACTAAGGAGTGTCTCAAATCGGCTGCTGACTTTCGAAAAATCCGTCTTAACACATTCAAAAAGCCATTTGCATACCTCGCGCTGCTCTCAAAGCGCCACCACAACCGACCGGGAAAACCCGCTAATTTACTACTTACGTTCTAATCCAACCGCGCCATAATCCAGCATTACGTTCAGCAACACGCCTTGTCCACTAACCTGCTCCGCCCAAGTTGGGTTTCCTCAGATCCTCTGCCGAGATGGTCGGATACGTCACAGGCGACTGGTCGATGCTCGGGTACGCAATCCTGCCAGCCCCGCCCTCGGCGTGTGCCCCAGGGTGGTAATCGTACGTGGCCCCTTGCGGGCGCCCAGTACGAGCCTCCGGTTGATAATTATAGCTCGCACCGGCTCCCTCAGAAGTGCCCGAGGCTGTGTCCCCGACCACAGCGTAACCTGCCCCGGGGGTGGAAGACCCACCTGCGGAGGGGCGGTAGTCGTACTGGGCCGCCCGTTGGTGGGCGTCGGAGGAGCCTCCTGGGCGGTAGTCGTAACTGACGCCGCCTTCCGATGACGGGAGGGGGGGCGCCGAGGCTGAGGCTGCCGGGGGCGCTGAAGGGGTGGACGCAACTGGACACAAACGCAGAGCTTGTATGAGCTTGGGGTGAGGCGTTACGCCAGCCCAACTGAATCTTCAGATTCCTGTCTAAAACATCAAAACATGGAAGCAAAACGAGTAGAATCAGGAACACTTATGCCGCAACAGAGCCGATGGGTGCATATGCTTCCTACGAAACGGCTCCTGATTACGCTCTCAAAGAATCCGCATCTCAACTGATGACACGGAGAGATCCGGCATGGACCTTAAACCCAATCACACCTTCATGTCTGGGCGAGTGTGTGGGCAGGTCGCGAAGTAATTTGCGTACAAACGACACCACCGTTTCTTCTGCCCTACACTTTGCAACCGTCCGTCTATTACTGGTAAGGCATTGGGTCCATGTTATCAACCAGGCCAACATCTACTCCCGTCAGTTTGTCTCAAACTATATCGACAGTAGGCAAGCCATCGCTGCCATATTTGTCAAACTCCGCCGCATCAATTCTTCACAATCGTAACCGCAATGACATAACCACGCCTAACATGTAAGAAGAGCCAAACGGAGGACAGGGGATCCCTCACCTCGTCCCTCTCCCCAGCCCCCGGGCCCCTCCTCCACCACGGCCCAGCCTCCGTACTCCGACCCGGGGGGCTTCGGCTGGCGCCCCGGAACAGCTGGCAGTGCCGACGCCGCTGCCCCAGGCAAGTTCGCAGTGACCGCCTTGGGCCCTGTCGGGGCGCGCGATGGCAACGGGGCGGGCATGTAAGCGGCAGCCGCGCCGGCAGCAGGGCCTGCGGCGGTTGGGGGGTGGTTCGCAGCGGGGGGCGTTCTCGGGCGTGCGGAAGCTGCGGAACCGCCCCAGCCGCCATACTGGGAACTCTCCTGGTCCGCCCAGCCGTTGTACCTGGCAAGAGAGAGGTGCTCATCAATAAAAGGAACTGGTGCTACAGGATAGAAGGAAAATCTGGCCTGATAGTGGCGCATGTCTTGGAAGATCTCCTTCGCTCTTTGGTTAAAACCTGCCGAACGCTTTTGATTCATGGGCTGGGAGGCAGGGGAGAAGAGGACTGTGGATTGGAATTCACATGACGCTGTAGGCACAGGGCGGATGTTGGAGGCTCCAGTGCAGTAAGCACGAGGACCAAACAACAGCACTTTCGCGATCCGGACTGATGCATCCAGAATCGAATATCGAGACGATGAGACACCAAGATCTTCATTTTGCCAAGAGAATACATGAAAAGCTTCAAAAAGAACCATAGTACCCTCGATAGATCGAAGACCAAAAGGTTCCAGGACCTTCCCGGGGTCCAATCACGAAAGCACCAACAACCAAACCAGAGACCCAGACGATCTCACTTGTCATGCGATGCGGCAGCCCCCGGCTCCTGCTTGGCCGTCTCAAGGGATGCGGCTATCGCCATTGCGAGCGCTTCGTCCTCCGAGGCTGCGACCTTCCCGTCAGGACGCTGAGATGGCGGAGTCCCAGAACTCGTTGGCCGACTAGCAGGCGGGGCCGCAGATCCTGACGCCCCTTGAGGAAGGTAGTTGGCAGGGATAGGCGGGAACGGTGCGCTCATAGGAGCCGGTGGAGTGCCCGGGGCGCCGACCTGAAGGGCGAAAGTGAGGCGTGGGAATTGACGCACGGCCATGTGGCGTTTTCTATGACCTCTGACGACTTGGCCGAAGATTGAGTGCAGTGTCGAAGTCCGATGTTCTTGCACCAAACGCATTGCAGATTGCCGCTGCAACATTGTGATCCTCCTCTTGAAGGACCGAGAGGGAAACGTTTCGTGACAATGTCACAGTGCAAGCCTTTTAGCGACAGCTCTCGTTAGAAACGTTGACCGTACACAATGACTCACGTCAATTTAGACAACAACCAAGGTCTTGAAAAGAAGCGAGAGATGCCAAGCAACTATGGATGGATTCTGCTGTCCGACCAGAAATTGCTAGATTCATTCTCCTAGAAAAACCATCGTTTGTAAAGGTGGGTTCAGTAAAACAGCAGGGCTTCGACCCGCAGACCAGTTGCAGCATCCTGTTCCGATCCTGTTCCGACGAACTCTCCGTTCATACTGTGTAGAGGACAAGAGTACCAACACGACAAGATATCGACACGAAAAAGCAGTGAATCAAAAATATCAATGTGGTCAGGACGTTTCCGAAAGTTACAGTTGTCAAGAAAAGCATGTGGTACGCTCAGGGTTCCTAGCAGTTGTTCGTACTCTAATAGAGCCCAGCGTACACAGAAGGGGTACCCACCGGCACGAGCCCTTTGCAAGCGTTGTACAGGCGCACAACCTGACCCCTGTCGTCGGGCCCCTCCAGCAGCTTGAACTTGGTTTCTGGACAGCACAGCGGCTACGGTTGTCAACAATAGATTCCAAACCTCAATGACGTAACATCTGATTAAGTCAGTGCATGCGAGACGGAAGGCAGCAACGTTGCACAGAAGGAGACCAAGTTCGCCACGGTTAGCGTGGCTGATGTGAGAAGCTCGGGAGAGGCGCAGAACGATTGCTGTGTGCAAAGGTTCCTGCACCCATTCCCAACAAAGAGAAGCATCAAGGCTTGTGGCCTTCCTTGTGGACCAGCCTGGGAAGAGAGTGTCTGCTCTCAATGTAAGGCTCACTTGTTTTCGTGTCAGTAACTTCTAGTACCGCATCCGGAGTATCAGGCTTCTTCACCGTCAGCTGGGCGTACTCGATCATTACCCGGTATTTGGGAGACGCCACCTGCAGTACAAGTACAGAGTCCTCTAACCAGCTCTAGCAGCACTTTGAAAGGATCTGCTTTTAAGGCAGTTCTTGCCCCGGCTTTCTAAAAAACCTCTCACACACCTTCTTTTCGACGCTACCCTAGTGGTGGGCAGGTCATCAGATAAAGAGTGTCTGGTAGGCAAGGTTGCCTTTCGGAGCAATTTCATTCATCTTCTACGACGTATGTTTATAAGATGAACAGCTATCCCACTTGATGTCCTTTCATAAAGCAACGGGGTCAAGATGTAATCTGACAAGCTCTGTCCACTCGACTTTTCAGATCCAGTGTCATGCAGCTTTGCTGCATGTCAGTCTCTTTCTTACACGGATCAGAAAAATGACGTACCCCACTGTGCACAGATTGCGGAAGCTGACTCACCCTATCAGAGGGGTACACCATGAGGATGAACGTTGGAGGCTTGTTCATATCAGGCCGGCTGGGGATCACCACCACATACCTGCAGCGAGACCAAAGCCTTCACTTCATTATCAGAGTATTGAAAATCGATACTTACAGCAGTCAGCTCAAAAGACATGCCATTTGAGAATGAGTATCAGCAAGTCTTGGTGCTGCACCTACGCAGACGAGTGGAAACTTGGTCGAACCTGTACTTAGATCAGGACCAGTTTACATAACATAGAAGGGGACAACATTACTGCACTCCAGTGTGAAATGGTAATGTTGATGACGGTGTTACACAATGCGACAATCAGAAAGAAGGGAGAACTCACACGTTTGTGAAGATGAACTGCGACACAAACTTCTCCAGAAACCCTGGGGCGCTTCCCGTCTGCTCCCTCATGGGTGCCGCAAACAAGGAGATCTTTTGCTGCAACAGTAAATAGAGCAACGGCTTGAGATGCAGAGACATCGCCACTTCCGGGTGAAAAGAAAACCTTGGCCAAGAGCACCCTAGACCAGATACCTCTACAAATGTGCTAGAGTTCGTATACAAGCAGGTTTGAAGAGCTGTTTCATGTGCATGACAAGCTCTCACAAGAAGAAAGCACATGCGATATCCAAAAATATCTGCTTTTTCTGCAAAGAGTGTCCGTACACGTCAACCATGCCATGCTACTGTCAAAATCCTCGGTTGCTGCAAATGCGACAGCAACCTCACCAAAGTCACAAGCAAGAACGTCTTCCAACAATGAGGGACAAACTGGTGAAGCCAAAAACCTACCTCAATGGCACGAACCACCCCAACATAGCCAGATCGCCTTGCAATGTCATGTGCCGTCTCATTCTCATCGTTCACGACGAAAGGATTCGCTGCAGAAGACACAACACTGCAGTTTCAACAGGGAAGTCCAGGCCGGTGTCCGTAACTAGCTATCAGAAGGTAAGCGCCTGTCTTCAAAACGGTCGTTGCGTTCAGTTTGCTCTTCCAAAATTAATCAATCCAGGAGATGACACCAGTCTTGAAAACAAGTCCCTTCTCCAGAGGGCCCCTCCTAACTCACAATGAAGCAGAAGCACCAGCTTCGAACTTTAAAGAGACGTCGGTCACATCATCACCATTTTTTACGACTTCCAGCCTAGGAACAACCTTCAGAGCAAACATCCTGCACCAAGTTTACAACCTGGTGCGGGATCTCTTAGTGCCTGAACCCGTCTACATTTTCCTACCTTCTAGGATCCACACATCTTATCCTACTTCTCGATCCTTGATAACTTCCTCACCATTGTATGAAAGCAGCAGAGCAGCAATCCGCTCCTGCCCTTGCCTGGCGGCATGATGTAGCGGCGTCCCTCCACCCTCACCTGTAACAACAGCATTGCTTCGACTTATATCAGCAAGTGCCAACCGTGCAACATATAAGCACAGCAAATAACAGGAGGCAAAAACCCCGCATTAGGGTTCAATGGGAAAAGCTAATAAGATTCTAATGCAGAAAGTCAACTGTCCTGTCTTATTGTCTTCTTAATTCAATGTCTTCTTGTTTTGAAAGGTTCTCAGAGTGGGAATTCTTGCACAATAAAGGAGGAGCCAAAATTTGCCACAATGCCAGAATGTACAGGACAAGTGCATTGAAGATTGCACAAATGACCACCAAAGTCTACTCAAAAAGAATTCCCAAACAAAGTTGATCTTTTGCAACATCTTAACCTGTTGTTCATCAAGTACTTACGTGGCCGGAACGCATTTTTCTCTGCTCCCAGCTCCAACAAGGTCTTCGCTGTTTCATAAAGCTCCGCATGATTGCATGCATACATCAGTGAAGTGCGACCCTTAGGATCCGTCCACTGCAAACACATACATCAAGACTCAGAGATTAGATAGTCTCACCCTGGGGTTTCCCCTGGACTTTCAAAAGTGAGAAACCTTGGTTCAAATGAGGAAACTCATCAGAAGATGGAGTCGTAAATGGCCACTGACATTTGGCAGATGGAAAAAGTTTTACACGGTGAGGTGTGAATCAGCTGAAACTGGAGCCGGCCTACCTAATGCTCCTCTCTTGCCAGCCATGCTTCCAAATGCTTGGGGTTTCTTGACAGAGGCTGCCCTGTGACTTGTATATGCTAGACTCGTGTGCATGCAACATTCAGGCGATGACTGAATTTTCAACAGAGAAACCAAAGGACCCCCGCAAGAACGATGCAGATTGAAATTTTGAGAAAATCCAAGTCAGATGGAACAAGGGAGATCAAGAAAGCTGATGATGAAGCATACCTCCAGTCCTGCGCCGTTGCTTCTCAACTTGCGAAGGTTAGCAATGTCCCCCTTGGTGGTGCACACATACACCTGCAGAGACATAGGAGCGTGTCTGTATTTACAAGCGTGTCATGTCTGAACACCTTTGCATCAAGATACTGCAAGGATTCTGGAGAAACGCACAGAGTGGCAACAAGATCCCTACTGCGCTGACAAGATCACACGCAGCAGGCATGCACTTGTCTTTCACAGGAGTAATAGCGTACCTTTTCTTCCAAGGACATGTTCTGCCCCATCTTGCAAATTTCGGAACGGACCGCAAAACAAGATTGATATGACTCGGAACCGGATGGCCACTTCAGCAACACAGCCCGACCAGGCGTGCAGGGGCGTGACCTCCTGGTCTGCAACAATCTACCTTCACAAGCTGCACGTCCAAGCGGAGTTGCCTTGCTGTGCGGCTCTGCCAACCCTCTGCCAGATGCCAACCAGGAGCTGCGCGCCTTTCTGCGCCTTCGGCACTGATCTGCTCAAGTCACGAGGAACTCCCTCGTTAAATGTCAGGCCCATGGCCATCAAGCTTTGTGGAGGTGACGCACCTCTTTCGATGACGATCGATACCTCATCTTGAAACTCTACTTCGTTAGTTTCGGCGTCTAAATACGGATTCGAGAGGACGACAGCGCAGCATTCTCTGCAGAGGCTTTCTTGCCACCTTCGTTGATCAGGCTTCGACTTTGCCACTGCAATTTGCGTCATGCCTTGCTGAACAGCATTCGACAGGTCACATGGCCGTCGTCGTGAGCTGGTACTAGCTGCTCTATGTCAGCTGCCTTCCTGGATTTGAGTGGAGCTCAATCTCCTGGAAAATATGCTGCACTGCAGGGTGACGTGCACCATCGTCTGTGTAGGGTGAAAGGAGGCGCAGTGTTCCTGAGCATGTTCAGCACCATCTAAGGCGCAGGTTTAATGCACGCATGCGGCACCGTGGTATCCAGAAGCATGGCCTCGGTGACGGTCTTCACAGTGGGGCATGGAACGAGGTCCCTTGAGGAACTGATTGAAATGCTGTCTGAGGTGAGGGTAAATGTCCTCCTTGACGTGAGGACTGTCCCGAAGTCCCGCACAAATCCCCAATTCAACAAAGATGGGACCATGCCAGCTTTGTTGGCACAAGCAGGTATCACCTACCAGCACATAAAGAAATTAGGAGGTTTTCGAAAACCCATTGAACACTCTTTCAACACGGCTTGGCGGAGTTCGTCATTCAGAGGCTTTGCAGATTACATGCAAACAGAAGATTTCCAAAAAGCACTTGACATGCTCGTCGATCTTGGACAAGAGAAAACGGTGGCAGTCATGTGTGCGGAGTTGAATCCGAGAATGTGTCATAGATCTCTCATCTCTGATGCCCTTCTTGCCACCAAGCCAGTCCGAGTACAACATTTGTTGAGGCCAGGGGGAAAGGAAGACCACAACTTTACCGCCTGGGGAAGGGTTTCAGACAACAAAGTTGTGTATGATGGGAAAGGGGAAGCGGAGGAAGCGGAGGATAAAGATCGAGACAAGCAAGCTACAAAAGATGCATCATCACAAGGAACAAGTCGTGAGAAGCAAGCGGCTATCACGGAGTACTTCAAATCTTTTCCAGGTCCTACTTGAGTCCTATGAAAATCTGTCCGTGAGCAACCATCCCTAACCATCATGTAGATTTACGAACTTTGGTCGTTACAAACCAGTCGTGAGGAGCAAGCGGCTATCATGACTCACTTGTCATATCCAGGTCCTACTAGAGTACTTCAAAGGATGTGTAGCTGCAACCGTCGCTGTATATGTACAGGCTTTGTTCTTTATCCATGTTTCATGGGCGTGCAGATGAATAAGATTCCGGATCTTTCTCAAAAAGTGGAACAACAGGCCTTGATATAAGGATGCCAACCGAAGGTCTGGTTTCTTACACCTCATAAGACCATTCCTTCTCTTGGCAGTGGTAGTTGATGCAATCAATCAAGTAAACCTTGATTCTGCTCTTGGTGAGCCAAAATTGTGGACGCCGAGCTCTACTAAGTGGTTTCCACGTGATTGAAGAGGGCCGCCATGCCCGGAGCCCACAGTTGGCATGCCAGGTTGCCTAGTCAAGGCTTTAATTGCACGGTTCAATTCTAGTTTATACAAGATAGAGATCATTCGCAGCATGCGGCCGCCCACTTGATTGAGGCATGGCTCATGTTGCAAGATCCATGTGCACACCTAGCTTCCAAAGAGCTTCGCGGCATCTCATGCAAACTAGCGGCGGCCGGGCGCGGGCCCGCCGTGCATAAATGATCGAGCTAGGCCAAGTCCGGCCAAGTGGACGAATCCCATGTGTAGGACGATGGTCTCTTTTCAAGTACGCCAGCCAGTTCGGCCGTAGGCTTCTCATGGCATACATACGATCGTTGACGCTTGACTTTTGACGCATGCAACGTGAGCCACTCAGCTGGAGCCATTGCTTGATAAGTGGCTGGTTGTGACAATAGTAGAGCACGATTGCCAAAGCTTAGATCAGGATGTATGTTCGAGCGCTGTGGCTACCGAACTTGAGGTGTTGCAAGTACTTGTGATGAACACGAAGTAATAGCGCGCGCACTTGTGTCTATAAGAAGACCTCATTTCTTTTGTACGAATAAATCTTACACTCCTCGTTACTGGTTTTCCCCCATTATGTATCCTCTACTTTTGATAGTGGCTTCGCCTTCCGAGTGTGCCCTATCGAGTTGACGAGAGCTTTTCTTGTGCACACAGGGAACATTTTGATGTGAAGCGAGTCTAATCTCCTGAGGACATGACCGAAACTCAACTGATCTCTAGGTGTGAAGCGGACCCCCTCATTGAACCAATTGCACATGAAGAGATTGGCCAGTGGAGAGTGCTCCCGCACGATCACTGACGCCTCTGCCAGGGCCTTCTTCCCGTCAAATGTGGCATTTTCAGGCAAGCCCTCTGCGTCATCAAAACAAGAGACTTGTTGAGACCACTCGTGCACCAACGTCATCCCCAGATATGGGAAGGAAGGCTGCGAAATTGAAAGCTCGAAAAACCTCGTTCTTTTTTAAAAGAACCCTGCTGAGATGATCCAAACCCGAGCCCAGACTTGACCTTCGCAGCCCGACTGACAGATTCGACACGCTAAATTCCGAGAAAGACATTTGCAGAAACGCGGGAGATCAGTTAAGACGTCAACCAATGTTCGCACAAAGCACGGACGGGCATGCCCGGCAGACGAGGGTATATGCTGCCAACACTTTGGTCCAGTGGGCACAGAATGCACCATCATTGAACCAAACCCACTACTACACCGTCAAATGGTCCCGCAACGTGTCTACTCGAATCGAGCTTCCGCTGGGGCACGTGACAAGCTCGCCGGATGATAGCCTCAGAACAAACACTTCTTGTCAGGAGATGCCCAGCATCAACCACCTTGAACACTAGATGCGATCGCAAGCAACACAAAAACAGAAGAAGAGGACGAAAACAGAGGAAAGAAGCGCGAACAGAACGAACCCTGCTCCTGCGCCGTAGGAAGCGAGCTGAGGTCAAACCTCAGCTTCTTGTTGGATAATGCAATTCCATACTGAGACTTCGTACGATCACCCGGAGACGCCCTGTGGATCCTCCCCTCCGAATTCTTTTTGCCGCAACCAAACAACACAACAACGAAAAGCCGAGATAACCTGCCGTTCTGCAAAGATCCAGGCAAACGTGACCCTAACAGCCCCTCATCTTGGCAGAGGAGTCCATCTTTTTAGCCTCGAAGCGACGAAACGAAGATCATGGAACGACAAACTTTCCAGTTGGAAGTGGAAAGATCAAAGCCCCTGCCCACCAGCGCGGTAGAAGTCGAGCAGGCACTTGATCTCCTCCGGCCCTACGATTGCTCGGCGCGTAGCGGAAGATGTGCCGTAGGCTACCCACCTCAAAACCCTTGTTGCAAAGGAGACAAAGCGGAACTCAAAAAATGCAAACCACACAAAACCCCTGCCCACCTGCACGGTAAAAATCGAGCTGGCGCTTGACCTCCTCTGGCCCCGCCTTGTGCTTGTGCACGACGGCCTCCCCCTCGGCGTACACGCAGCTGCGCGCGCCGTGCTCGCTGATAGCCAGCTGCTTGCCGGTCTTCCACAGCAGCGCCTCCAGCACGCCCAGCGGGTCCCGCCGGAACTGCGACTTGCTGCGGGAACAGAAGAATGAGTATTTCAACAAACTGATAACAATATGAAGATTGCATCTTTCCTTTCAGCGCAGCCTTGCAGCACGCCCAGCGGGTCGCGCCGAAACCGAGACTTGCTGCAGGGACAGAAGCCTGAGAATTTGACGAACTAATAACATTTTGAGAGTTGTTCATAGTATTCCACAGCAGCGCCTCCAGCACGCCCAGCGGGTCGCGCCGAAACTGAGACTTGCTGCGCGGACAGAAGAATGAGGATTTCAACAAACTAACAACAGCCTGAGATGTCATCTTTCCTTTCAGCGCAGCCTTCCAGCACGCCCAGCGGGTCGCGCCGAAACTGAGACTTGCTGCAGGGACAAAAGCCTGAGAATGTCCACGAACTGATAACATTCGTAAGTAGTTTACGTATACTTTACCGAACTAGTAGACCGTCCCTACCGACGTACTACCGACCCTAGGTCGGGTACCGACGGAACCGGTAAAACGTGGACG